GTCTTCTTTAGGAGAACTTTTCTTCAATGAAAATTGAATTTTGGGATTCTTACGACAAATTCTATAAGACGCAATGCTTGATGAGACGGTTAATCCCCTACTGGCTCTACATTAGTCATTGCATCAGATATTATAAAACCCGGTGTGTAGTATGAATATGACTGTATGAGAATCAATTAAGAGAACTCGGTTAGGTGACACAAGTGGGTGTGAATGAGGAAACTTTAGATGGTTTACCTCAATGGGACATGTTAGGTTTGCACTGAGTTGAGTGAGACCATCTCTTGATTAAGATGTTTCCCAAACTTTGAGCATCTTAAGAATCTTAGAGAGAGAGAGAGTAATATTTTTCAAAATGTAATGAAATAAAGAAAACATTTAGGAGAGAACTCAATCAAAAGGACAAGGTACGTTGTGAGAATCAAGGTGGTTTAATTTAGCTTTTTAATTTTCTAAATGTAATTTTTTCACTGTTTATAAAATATTGTATCACAAACCCGCATATGCGGGTTAACTAGATTTTGGCACTTGTTAATCTTTTTCCTAATTAGATTTTGACATGGGTGAAATCAATCTTATTTATTTTAATAAAAATTAGTTGATAAACATAGTTTAGTCTTAAACATTAAATACCACGTAGAAGTTGGAAATAATTTGATACATGAGTAAATTTTTGTAAATTTCAAATAGATTTAGGTTTACATACCCAAATATAAAAAAAATTATAATATTTTGCTTTTATATAAGAAATTTTGTGCTTTTTAAATCTTCTCACTAATATTTTCAAACTTTACTAATCATCACACAAATAATGTCTATTCAACCCAAAAGAAACATCAATTATTTAACTTTACCACAATTAAATAAAAACTGTGTTTATCGTCGTACTTAGTACGTCTTATAAGAAAGTAGGAGGCGAGAAACATAAAGAAAATTAATAGGCTTATAGAAATATATTTTTTATTATTTGATGAAAAGGTTAAAGTATTTGTATTTAATATCAATAAGAGACTTAATTTGCTAATAATTGCTTAATTAATGTCTAACTATAAGTTGATTTTATTTGCTAATTCAATTTTGGTTTATTTCTTACCGCATTGATATGAGATGTAGTAATTTATTTTTCTACTTTTTCTACTTTTACTTACTTTTTTACATATAATGAATATTAAAACGATAAAAGTATTTTATATTCCATATTTGGATTTGTATACAATGTAATCAATTTTATTGAGACATGTCTGAGTCAACCGGTTAGGTTTTATACAAGTGTAAATTTTTTTTTAATTAGATTTAGCCAAATGTCGCTAGATTTATATACTTAAAATGATAATATCTTTATTTGAAAAATAGTAAAAAAGTAATCCTACTTTACATAGAATTAGAAATATTTAATTATTTGAATATATGTGATATAATTTAATTAAAAATTAAACAATATAAAAAATAAAATAGATAAATATTTGATAGACTTCTCTATAAATATTTAATAATTTGAATATTTTTCGTCTTTGATTTTTTTTTTGCAAGTTATAAAATATTAAAGAGAAAAATAGTTCAAATATAAATATGAGAAATAATTCATCAACATTTTTTAAAGTAGATATTTGAATAGTAAAATAATATTAAAAGTATAAAAGTTAATCAAATTTAAATAGGAATAAGAAAACTAATAATTTTAAAATATGTGATAAAATTAAATTGTAAATCAAATAACGAAAACATAAAAATTAATAAAATAAATGATATTCTTTCGATCAATAGTTTTGCATTAACATTCTTATTTTGATATTAACTGATGATCTAATTTTTCATCACAATTAACTATTTTTTCCTACTGATTTATAAAAAAAACTTTCACAAACCCGCATATATGCGGATCTTTCATCTAGTATATATACATAGGGTAAACAGTTTTTTCGAAAAGAAGTAACTCTTAATGAAAACCAGAAAGCGGTTACTAAAAAATAACTACTTAACGGTTTTCTACGAAAACTCACAACCCAAAAATCATCATTTTTGAAAAGACGCAACTCTTAACGAAAACCATAAAGCGGTTACTTAGAAAATAACTACTTAACGGGTTTTTACGAAAAAGTCACAATCCAAAATATTCATTTTTGAAAAAACGCAATTCTTAAAGAAAACCAAAAAGTTGTTTTTTAAAAGACACAACTTTTGACGAAACAATTATGATGAAAAGATACAATTTTTGACAAAATGGTTACAATGAAAAGATACAACTATTGACAAAAGAATTTTATTGTTTTATCATAAAGGGATG